CAGCTTGTATTACTGATTGCGGTTATCAAATTATTATTATTATTATTGTGAAAAGAAGAAGGACAAAATGTTACGAGTTATGACTAAATTATGAGTTATAAGATCTGGTTACGTTGGTGGACAGTTAGTCATAACTCGTAACATTTTGTCCTTCTTCTTTTCACAATTATTTAATTGGCTCACCATCCGAGTTACACTTTGCACAATTATTATTTTTTCCCATGATATGCAGACGTGGCGGCTTCCCTATCATCCACCACAACCATGTCCGGGACTACATTGCCGGCCTTCTTGGCAGAGTGTGCAATGCCGTGGAGACGGAGCCTGTTCTTCAACCCCTTGCTGGTCAAGTTCTTCCAAGGGCCGCCAACACTGACCCTCTGGCCAGACTGGACGTCAAGGGTAGGGGCCTCTGGTCCATGCAAGAGGATGCATTATTGACATAAGGGTTTTCTATCCCTGCACGTCCTCTTACATGACTAAGTCCCTCTCTGCGACCTACAGATGGCATGAGGAGCAGAAGAAAGCGGCTTATGGTGAGCGGATGCGGCGGGTGGAGAGGGGCAGCTTCTCTCCATTGGTGTTCTCCTCTGTCGGGGGAGCTGGCGGTGAGGCCCGGTATGTGTTGAAACGTCTCGCCATTCGCCTGGCAGCGGCAACCGGAGACTCGTACAGCGTCCTCATGGGACGGATCCGCTGTGAGCTTGGCTTCACACTAGTCCGTGACTCCATCATGCTGTTGCGTGGTAGTCGGAGGAAGGTGAATTTCAGCCATCACCTCAGCGATGTCCTGCAGCATGAGTCGCTCATGCCAGTTTGACTCGGTTCAATTTGTCTTTGGTGTCTGTGCATGATGATGTCACAGGTTTGTTTGCCAGTTTTGGTTATGTTGCCGTTCATCCTCCGTCTTTGCTTTTTGTTTTGCTGTTTCCTTTCTCTTCTTCCTCTTTGCTCACGTTGATGCCATTTTGTTGTGATTCCGCATGCTTTGACTCAAACTCGCAAGGTTTATCATTATCCCTTGCACCTTTTACTGGTTTAGGACTTGTGCCCAGTCCTGAAGTTATTGCTCATTGTTTGTGTTTTTGTTTTTATTGTTTTGCATTTACATTTACATGTATTTAGAACACATGCTCAATTCATGTGCAAGGTTGATTGCTATCCCTTGCACGTATCAGGGCCTGTGCCCTTTCCTGTTTTATTTCATCTCATAATAGCACATAATAAACCAGTTTGTACCCGAAAACAATTATTATTTCCAAGTTTAATTATTCAGATGGAGTTCCAAGGTTTAATTTATACAAAAGAGAAAGACCAAGGAACTGCAAGTTACGCTATACTGTCCACTAACACCACCAGTTACTAAACAATCAGCTCATGCGATAACATTGCACGTCACTGACCGACGGTACTGACGTTCTACAACTAACTGGCTAACAGCTCTCGCACATCTTGGATGCGCACTCCAACAGCCTTCCAACTTCGAAGGTTCTAAGTTATAGAAATAACATAAGGAGGGAAAGGTGAGCGCAACCAAGACAAGCACGAGCTGAAAGTCTCAGCTGTGAAGGACGTTGGCGGATGTTCATGCATGTCGATGACGATACTGGCAATTCAGTTTTCATACCGTTCTTCTTTGCCAATGAACTGTACGTTCTGGAGATCTCGTAAACGATACTGCATCCTTATGAGTGGATAGTTGGTGAGGGAATCCCTCTCCCAACTCATTGGCCCCGATCGCGGACGATTTCCAACTCTCTCCTTCTCTCTCCAAGCAATGCGTCCACGAATATGCAACACTAGGACTGCAACCAGGGAATAGTGCTACTAGTAGATTACTCTGCCACACCCTCACTGCAACTGCAACTGCAAGCATCCACACCCTCACTGCAACTGCAACTGCAGGCATCCACACCCTCACTGCAACTGCAACTGCAGGCATCCACACCCTCACTGCAACTGCAACTGCAGACATCCACACCCTCACTGCAACTGCAACTGCAGGCATCCACACAGTCGCTGGGGTCGATGATGGATCATGGAGGAGGCAACGACACCCATGCTACACAACTATTTGAATTTGATATTGATGTAAACTAAACTAATATTCAAATACACCCGTACTGGGCCGCCAGTGAATGTGCCCCAAATCCACGAGTGTACTTGACAGGAGACATTCAGCAGCCTGTCAGCGATCCACGATAGCTCTACTTGTACAAGCGAAGGTCGCTAGCGCTTCAACTCGGACAATAATAACATCTAAAATTGCATAGGACGTGCTGCATTTGCATTCCCTCCGCCAAAGCGGAGCGCTGAGGAACACAGTAGTCTACATGTATGTGTGACCGCTGCATCGTGTGTTCCGCCAAAGCGGCTGCGGTAGCTACCGCTTTTCGCCTCCGCAAAAGCGGTGCAGGGGTTTCATGTGTGACCGCGGCCTAAGGCCAATAAAATTTAATACTGTTTATAAAGAACTCCTTTTTAGGGAAAGTGAAGGTCAACATAGTATGTATAATAAATGTGAAGCTGAAGGATTTATTGCAATTACATACCAGTTATAAAACCTCGGGGACCTCCGTTTTATACTGGTGTGTAATTGCAATAAATCCTTCAGCTTCACATTTATTATAAACATATGAGCCAGGGACTACAGAAACCACCCTATGGGACTTTTTGGCGAAAATTTGTTTCTCTCAAAATGTTGGTATGGCATGGTAATGTGCTCAAACTAAATTTCAAGTTGATCTACGATGGTAAAATGTGCCTAACCACCTATTTAATAATGGCATGTCAATTGAAAGATATACTGCAAATTTATGTACACAGTTTGTAATGTTCTTTGTATATCTTCATTCTTGCTAGTTAGGCAGTTCAAATGTGTAGTGAACTATGCCCTCAGCTTCATCCAGTGACGCCTGCGCGCCGTCCACTAAATCTCAGTAGTATTGCCACTCCCCTTGTGCTAGTGATATGTGCGAACGCAGGGCCTGGACACTACATTCCGTCTCTTCCTCTGTATGGGCAACACGAATTTTGTCCCCCAGCTTGTCACACAGTGCGCATACATGTGTCCTTGGCTTCATCACTTTGATGTGTTCTGCCTGTCTCCTCTAAATGCGGCAAAATGACCTATAATGAACAGGTGAATACTGTGTGACGGTCTTGGTATAAATGTTGTATGCAGACTTCTTGTTCTTGGATGCTGGTAAGTATACTGGAGGGTCCTCAGCACGACCTCGCTCCGCTGCAGGTTGAGGTAGACCGTACATGTTCGCATATGAATAAATAAAATGCACTACATCCTGCTCTATGTCTGCTGAAATGGATAAGTGCTCTGGTGTTCTCCCAGTCAAGCCATGGTGTCCCAGTTGAACGACTCCTTTGTTTGCCTTTTTTTGAAGGTGCTTCATTACATGACTTCCAACAGCATTAACCCGTCTTTGCACAACTCGTAACCACGTACATGATAGCGGAAATAAAGAGGTCGATCACCGCCACCAGTCATCGACTTTCGCATGCTCCCAGTCAGTGCGCCCAGAACAAACTGCTTGAAGCGATTTTTCAATTCTCGCAGTTTAGAGACTTCAAACATGTAGTCCTCGAGCTGCTGCTCTGGGATGACTTTCCAATGATTCTTCGACTTGCATCCACAGCCTCTCTCAATCCCATCGCGTATGTCTGAAGACAGGAGACCACGCTTCACCTGCTCAGTCGTCGGTGGCTCAGGTGCGGGGGCATCTGGTTCGTCATCCCATTCCGAGTAGTCGGTGTCACTCTCCGCGTTTGAAATTTCCGAGCTGTCGGGGCTTGGCGTTTTCGACACAACACTAGCAGCACTCGAGCTTGCTGTGGCTCCATACGTCTTCTTCTTAGGTGGCATATCATCGCCGTCGCTGTCGGCATCGGTGTAGGAATCGCTCGCGGACGACTCGTGGGTGCCAGCGCTGAATCCGTAAAATTTCTCGTCGTCCGATTCAAGCGCCTTCGCTATAGCATCAGAGACTCCACACAGAATCGAGCTGCGTCGTCTACTAGATGTTGTTGCCATAATCAATCACAGTAAGTGGAGCCTCTTGAGTTACTCGACAATCGCTCGGAATCCTATTGTCTTCACCGAACACCTAATCAACATAACAAGAGGACAGCTCTTGAGTCTTGTCAAAACAAAAGTGACGAGTTCTGCGCTTCGCGTAACTTTGAGTCACGTGACTTTGAAACGTCATAACTTGATTTTGATATCAAACGTCGTAGGGCAGTTTCTATAGTCCCTGGCTCATATATGCAGTACTCCTTTTTTTATGATTCAGAATGAGGCAGCTACAAGTCGGATATACCTTTCTCTGCAGTGTATATGGAAAGTATTCACCATCATACACACCTCGGCCTTCGGCCTCGGGCTGAATTGGTGTATATTTTCCTCATACACTCCAGCTCAGAGAATATCCTTTAGAATCATGTTCTTTTGTGCTATTTGAGATGCATTTTGCTTGCCTCCTTACTAAATAGGGGAATAAATAGGGGAATATCAACAACTTTGTCATGTAACTGTAGTGTACTTTTTCTAGGGTTGCTCCCACCCGTCCGGTCCAAATATTTTGTTTGAAACCTGGCTACAAACGGTTGTACTTTGTTCCGTAGGATATCTACTAATAATTATTACATACATGTATATCTAGTGAACGGAGACACAGGTTTATCAGGTTTTACCGGCCGGTTTCACTCAGGGGAGAGGCTAAACAGAGCACACTCACAATTGCCAATTTAGGCAATAAATACCGGTAAACTAGAATATTATTTTGCTTCCCAGCAGGATTTGAACTTGAGTTCAATTATTGAATGCATCAAATAAAAAAAGAGACATGGAAACAAATGTTTTCTATCTCCATGGCAAGCAGAATCTGGGACATTTGTGTTGATCTATTTTTGCCACCTCTGTCTTGTGATCATTGTGTCCTGTGTGTGCTTCTGACTGTGTGGTGCATGAATGTTGGTATTTGCAGTCATGATCAGACGATACATCAATAGAAGGAAGGCAATGCCTGAGAGAATTATCATCTACCGTGATGGTGTTGGCGATCCTGAAGTAAGAATTTTGTTATTTTCCATTTTGCCTTTTGCAAGTGACCAGCCGCTCCGGAAAAGGTCAATAGACTTTGTGCGATACTGTTGCTATTGCAGATTGCCACCACTTAGAACTTAGGAAAGGGAAAGGACGATTCGTATATGATTATAGTTGTCTGGGAGAGAAACCAAGAAAGATCCTTCGTGACTCCCCCTCAATGCACGCAGGCGCCAATATGTCCATTCACACAGCAACTATGCTGTGGCTACAATGTCACACCATTCTGTGCTTGTCTCTGTCCACCACTTGATTTTTCAATTCATTCACTCTCAGTAAGTTAAAAGCTGATTACATCGCATTCTAAAACGTTTGACCAAAACATTGCAGGCTTTATCTACCTCTCCTTGTCAGTACCAATGCCTCGAAGCCGTAACTGTCGACGGAATATGCAATTGCCTGAAGCAGTCGTAACTTCATGTTTAGATAGGGATAAATGAAGAACATGAAATCTTAGAAGTAGCGACTAACTCGGCCATTTGAAAATAATCTGAACCGTCCACCTCCATAAAATTCTAAAACTCCACTCAGGACTTGCATCCACAGTCGCACCAAATATTGTTGGTGGCGCAAGGAGAAGCTTGTCGTTTGGAGCGACAAGTGATCACCGCTGCTTTTCCTTGTCAGAGTCGACAATACAATTTGTTCTGCGGCGTTGGGAGTAGTGTTCGAGTAGAATTTGCGGAGTAGAATTTGTAGAGGAGACGTAGCGGAGGGACGAGCTTTTCTGCGCATGTATGAGTTTGGCCGTAATTCAGCTGGTCGAGTTGCAAAATTCAAAAAAGGTTAATTTCAAGGAACCCCCAAAAAGAAGGTGGGGGACATGTCCTCAGTGCTAGAAGAAGTGTTCTACTATCTGCCAGTGTATAGTTCTTGCTAATCGAGGACGTAGCTGGCTGTTTTATCAGCGCTTGTAAATTGGCGATTTTCAAGACGATCATTTGTGGCGCAAGGGGGTGCTGGCCCTCGTCTTCTGGGATGCTGGCGCTGCTAAGCAGTACTGCTCCAGGAACTCATCTAAGATGAAGCAATGTTGGCTTGATGGAATTTTGTTCGTAGCTTGTTCGTGTACGCTGTGGAGCGACTCGTTTTTAGCCCCATTAATAATGTGATTTGTCGGCCATTTTTGAGGGGTGTGCAAGTTTCAAGCTCCACTTCAGAAACTTTTTCAAGGGCTTTGTACAGTCGAGCTACACCCCAAAGGCAACTTACCTGCCAATTTTGAGCGAAATCGGAGAGATCCACTTGCACACATACTTTGGTATTCTCAGACATGGTCTCTTTGAATAAAATTTAAATGTGTTTTTAAGACCGGACTCGGATGGAGAGCCAAGGATAACTTTATAGTAAAGAAAAAAAGACCAAGAAACTACAAGTTACGCTATAATGTCCACTAACACCACCAGTTACTAAACAATCAGCTCATGCGATGACAAGAACCAGTTAGTTGTAGAACGTCAGTACCGTCGGTCAGTGTGGTGCAATGTTATCGCGTGAGCTGATTGTTTAGTAACTGGTGGTGTTAGTGGACAATATACACTATACTATCAAAAGGTATTCTTTGTAGACCAAAGAGTGGTATATTTGATAACATTTAATAACGATAGAAATTTTACGATGCTTCTCCAGACGTTTCGTTGTTCTGAACAACATGGTCAGTGGATAATATACACTATAGCGTAACTTGTAGTTTCTTGGTCCTTTTTTCTTTACTTTAAATGTATCCTTGCCTCTCTATCCGAGTCCATTGTTGAACACCTGATGAGCCGTCCTTATCTTTACGGCGGAATGATCGTCGTGTGAAACTGCTGCTTGTTGCCGCTGCTTATTGTCCATCTGAATGGTCATAGTACAGTGCTGTATTACTGAGGCATTCGGTTTTGCATGATTCCTGTTCGCATAGCTTACCCTTCTATTGATCTTCGCATCTTTGAGCTACACAAGTTGAGTGGAATGTTGCTTTGCGTCCTTGAATCGTGGTTTGACCGTATTGTCCAGTAGTCTTGCCAGTATCATCATCGACATGCATGAACATCCACCAACGTCCTTCACAGCTGAGACTTTCAGCTCGTGCTTTTCTTGCTTGCGCTCACCTTCCCCTCCTTATGTTATTTCTATAACTTAGAACCTTCCAAGTTGAAAGGCTGTTGGAGCGCGCATCCCAGATGTGCTAGAGCTGTTCGCCAGTTAGTTGTAGAACGTCAGTACCGTCGGTCAGTGTCGCGCAATGTTATCGCATGAGCTGATTGTTTAGTAACTTTTGGTGTTAGTGGACAAAATAGCATAACTTGTAGTTTCTTGGCCCTTTTTTATAAACGTGTTTTGTAATTATTTGACTTTCTTCTGTGTCTCCTTTTTGTGGTTTCACGTGGATGTGGCTATCGCGGATGTGGCTATCGCTGATGTGGCTATCTTGGATGTGGCTATCGTGGCTGTGGCTATCGTGGCTGTGGCTATCGTGGCTGTGACTTGAATTTTGTTACGGACGTGCAGTTTGAAGAGGTGATTAATACAGAGGTGGTGCATATAACAACCGCCATTAGGAGACAAGATAACCCGTAAGTACCACAGCATGGTGATATTGAGACATTTCCTGTAAATTCGGTTTGGATGTCTACACTATAATATATTAACTGGTTTGAGGGAAAGAGACAAACGGGAAAAGTCTGAAGAAAAGATTGACTGTCACCACCAGGACTCGAACCAGGGACCCTCGCTTGTAGCCAGCGATGCTCTAACCACTGAGCTATGGTGTAGTCGTCATCCCAGCAGAGGCCGTTCAACATTTTCTTCAGACTTCGTAACTCACACTTCCTGTGAATCCACACAGGCGGGTGGGACGCAGCCCTCACTGTAACCCACACACTTCACGTACAAACTAGCACGCGGGGAGCCCCAAGTCATAAAATATTAACTGGTTTGAGGGAAAGAGACAAACGGGAAAAGTCTGAAGAAAAAATTGACTGTCACCACCAGGACTCGAACCAGGGACCCTCGCTTGTAGCCAGCGATGCTCTAACCACTGAGCTATGGTGTAGTCGTCATCCCAGCAGAGGCCGTTCAACATTTTCTTCAGACTTCGTAACTCACACTTCCATATATATGCCTCTGGAACTCCAGCGCCCTGCCACATAGTGATTTTCTGGTGCTAACATGGTTCGGACACTGCTCGATTAGAGATCCAATGCAGGCTCTTTGAGCCACGGGCACAACTCTTTGATTCAGGTTTTTGAGGAGATCAACACGGATTTGAACGTGATAAGAAGGGTGAGTTGTGCATTCAACACGCGCGCACGCACACACACACACCTCACCTCACCTCAGACCTGCCCATCGCGGAAGCGATGATAGCAAACAGCTATGTTAGACATAGCAACTTGTGCTGGGATTACACCATTCAACAGCTTGCAAGGCTGATGAATTGACCGCCACTATTTTTAGCCTGGTATCCACCACACAGCTGATTGAAGTGACTTTTTCTGGCCAGTGAATCCCTATTTTTCATTTTTCTTTCTTTTTTTTCTTTTTTTTCTACACACACACCACACCACATGCTCCGGCATACACTGGCTGTTGGTAACCACCCAGGAGAATAAAAGAAAGGTTAGGAAGAGTCCGAGAAAGAGAAGAAAGACGTGTGCGACCATAATCGTCGGGAATTGAACCCGCAACCTCGCGATTGGAAATCGACTGCACATACCACTGCACCATATGGGACACACACACACACGCGCGCACACACACACACACACAAACACACACACACGATTGGCTATGGGTTAGAACCCTTTTTTTTACATTTTCGCCGCCATCTCATCAGAAGGATTGTACTAACAAAGACACATGAAACACGTAACGCAAAAATTAATAATTACTTATTTATCTATTTATTTATTACAGCATCTCATAGCACAGTGAGAACACCGGCCAATACAAAGAGAGAGGGTGTTAGCCAACCATAGCAAGGAAGGGAGAAGGGGAGGAGAAGAAACAAACTTGTACTAAAAATGCAGTGACGTGAAAGGAAATGCCAACGTTAGTAAAAGGCAATGAGAGCGAAAGAATGGTGGTAGTCAAAGCACAAAGATCTATCACAAGCAGAGCGATAAATCAACAACGAAGAAGTGCAATCCACGTACTGAGAACTACCGATCCAAACTCACAATTTCAAAATGAACAACTTTTTCTTTGCGTTCCAATGTCCGGCTTAGCAGTGAAAATGTAAATTGACTCCAATTGGACTATGTGCACGTTACAAGACTGAAAACGAATCATCAGAGTAACTTGAACGACATGCACTATTCCCCACCAAATGATTACTAAGAGCAGAATCATACATTCCAATATTTAATACCAAAATAGCTACATAAACAGTTTCCTCTGAGACAAAAAATGCGATTATACTCATAAAAAGGACACACTTCAGGCTCTTAACGAACATCATGAAAGTTTTTGGTTTCACAAGTTTGCTTTCAAGCCTTCTCATCCCTTGAAACACAGGAAGAGTGACTGAGATTCACATGGTCGTGGGCTTGAATCCCCCCTCTTGTGTATTTCTGCATTCTTCAAAAATTTCTTTTTCTGAGTCAGAGAGAAAATTTCTAAGTCCAAGAGGTTCTAAGGAGTCAAAATTAAAATATATTTATACAGTATAAAATAGTCAAATAATTATATTTTATTAACTGGTTTGAGGGAAAGAGTTAATTATATTTTATACAGTATAAAATAGTCAAGTATATTGTGTATTTGACTAAGCAGTCAAATACGCGATATATTTGACCGCTTAGGTATCATTGAAATTAGTGGGGTCAAAATACTAATGAGGCGATACAATATGTTATATTTTCTCCATTCTATCATTGCAGGTTGATCCCTGATCAGAACAACCCGGGCATGTTTGGTACGGCCCAGAGGACAACGGTAGAGCTGGTTTTTGTCGTCGTTCAGAAACGGATAGCCGAGCGCCTGTTTTGTGCCAGAAATGTTGGTGAAAATAAACGAACAGTGGAATGTGTGAAACCCGGCACATTTATCAAAGCCCACATTAACAAGTGCCCAAAGCCTGGTGGCAAGTAAGATTTTACCAAAAATTTACCAAAAATACATGGACAATTAACTCCCTCAGACTGATGAAGATAGACTGATAGGTATAATAATATTAATAATAAATTCCATAACCTTGAACCTTCCAAGTTGGAAGGCTGTCGGTTAGCGCTACGGAGATGTGTTGAAGCTAGGTGTCAGGACGTCGAATGTCTCAGTACTCTGTCAGTTTTGTGCCTAGTTATTGCACTTTCTGACTGTATAAAGTATCATGTTACAGTGATGGAGAGTTACTCTTAACTCGTATCCATAATGTCTCTTTCCTTTCTAAATAATAATACTAATAATAATAATAATACGAAGTAGTGGTTGCGACTTCGGCGATGATTTGTAAGAAAGGTTTGCTCCCCACACCGGAGCTCGCGCTATTCCGCCGACTTTACTTGACACTTGTGTGACTCACGACTGCCATCCAGAGCACACGAGAAGTCCATCGAACCTTCGACTCGGCAAACCTGCAAGAAGGCACCACTCCCTGCTCAATACACAGTGTTTCGGTGAATTCACCCCTCATCAGTTGAGCTTGAGTAGGCTGAGGAAGATTGTGCCTGAAGAGCACCACTTATATAGTGCTCTCCAGGCACAAACATCACCAGGGATACAAACTTACAGAGACGCTCCGCTTCCAGCGCGACAAACACCTCATGAACACCAGAAACCAGTGTGGGTCAGTGTCGCTCCTGGACGGTGAGGGAGTGGTGCTTTCTTGCAGGTTTGCCGAGTTGAAGGTTCGATGGACTTCTCGTGTGCTCTGGATGGCAGTCGTGAGTCAGTCAAGTGTCAAGTAAAGTCGGCGGAATAGCGCGAGCTCCGGTGTGGGGAGCAAACCCTTCTTACAAATAATAATAATAATAATAATAATTAAAAAGCTTCCGTGGAGATAAAAATGTAATCAACGCAATAAATAGAGTAAGCTGCGCACTCAGTACAAACACCATAAGCAAAACTTGTTTTCATGTATAATAAATAAGCTTGTTCCTAAACGTTTTCGTCGCCATCTCATCAGAGGATTACTGGCAAATCAACAAAAGCTCTTAACTCAATATATATACGCACAATGCAAGTAATAATTTAGACCCTAACTAGCGCGATAAAATGAGAGCTGAAAGAAACATTACACCATTCAACGATATCAGGTGACAACAAATGCGATAAATTCACCACTAGAAAGTTACCAAGCAACCACAAACGAGAACTACTGATCTAAATTCACAAACAATTTCAACGTAAACAAATTCTTTTTCTGCCTACACAAAATCGGTGGTAAAAATGTAAATAGACTCCAATACACGCAAATACCTTTGACTACGTGAACGAGACCAAACAGAAAAGCAATCATCAGCATAACTAGAACGACAATCACTATTCTGAACAAGATGGTTGGCGATAGAAGATTCATACACCCTAACAACGCTACTAGAACCAGTACATACTTTGGAATTACGTGACAATGAAACCGACCTGACATTCCTTGCCGCTACTGCCAATCCAGACGAGGCCGATGTAGATGTCCGTACCAAAGGCACGTCCGTTGCTGGCACTGCCTGCTGCGATGATGCTCCCTTTGACGTTCCAATGGCTGTTGATGTTGATGAAGAGGAGGAGGGAGATGAGGAAGACGCTGACGACGACGATGACGACAACGACGGAGACGATAAAGACTCTGCTAACCTCGCCCTAGAGCGAGTCACTGGTCCCGCAGACACACCATCCGGTGGTTTCTTCGGTGGCCGGCCACGCTTTTTGCCACCGGAGGTGGACACACCGGATGATGGTACAGAGGAAGTCAAAGAAGACGAAACCGCAGATACCAACGATGATGACGGGATAGAAGGAAGAGACGGTAAAGACGAAGGCAATGACGAACAAGCCGATGCCGACGAAGAAGACAACGACACCCCAGTTGGTTCCGTCCCCAGCGAGGGTGCACCTCCAGTCGCAGTACCAATCTTTGGGGGACGACCTCGTCTAGGCCTTGACGACCGTGCCTCAACAGGCATCAGAATTTGTTTACGTTGAAATTGTTTGTGAATTTAGATCAGTAGTTCTCGTTTGTGGTTGCTTGGTAATTTTCTAGTGGTGAATTTATCGCATTTGTTGTCACCTGATATCGTTGAATGGTGTAATGTTTCTTTCAGCTCTCATTTTATCGCACTAGTTAGGGTCTAAATTATTACTTGCATTGTGCGTATATATATTGAGTTAAGAGCTTTTGTTGATTTGCCAGTAATCCTCTGATGAGATGGCGACGAAAACGTTTAGGAACAAGCTTATTTATTATACATGAAAACAAGTTTTGCTTATGGTGTTTGTACTGAGTGCGCAGCTTACTCTATTTATTGCGTTGAATAATAATAATAATAATAAGCAAACCTTTCTTACAAATCATCGCCGAAGTCGCAACCACTACTTCGTAATAATAATAATAATATCTTTATTAGGATGACCCAGAGGCTTGTCGCCTATCAAGGGGTTCACCGCTTTGAAGGATGTACATGTACATGGACATGTATGAAAGTAGTGAAAAGTTGTGCAGCGTGAATGCGTTGGGGAGCACACAGGGGGGGGGGTTATGTACATGGCGTAGGCATACCGGAGAGCAAAGCAATATGTTTGCAAGTGAGTTTGCGAAGCTCATTCTTGAAAACAATAATGGATGGTTCTGCAGTTAGTCTTGGTGGGAGGCAGTTCCATAAGAGGGAGGTTTGGAAGAGAAACAACGATTTTGATGTGGTCTTTGCTTTAGGTAGAATAATTTTGTTAGGGCGTCTCGCACTCTGCGTGATATTGAAATGGAATGAAGCTAGGCAACGTCGATACTTGAAAATAAATTTGTGCATTGTAACTAAGCTTAAAAACTGCCTGCGGTAAAGAAGGGATTCAATGTTAGCTTTTTTATTAAGATCCTGCTTGGGTGTATTAAAATCGATTCGGATTTTGCGTTTCCTAAGGTAGGATCTTGCAAACCTGGCCTGGACTCTATCCAGCTCAGTCAAGTCGCTTGAACGAAGACGGAAGGACCACACTACGACGCTATACTCAATCACAGGTCTAACATAGCACTTGTAGAGGAGCATCATGGCCTGCGGTGTAAGACGATGTGCCATGTGACAAAGTAGGCTTACTCTTTGCTTGCATTTGCGACTGATATCAAGATAGTGTTGACGGAAGTTTGGATACCGTATTTTGGATACCGTATTTTCACCAATAATTGTACAGTACTTGTATTTTTCAAAGGTGGTTAGAACTGTACTACTATAGGAGACTGTACGACTATAGGAGACTGTACTACTATAGGAGACTGTACTGGGTATAGGAGACTGTACTACTATAGGAGACTGTACTACTATAGGAGACTGTCCTAGTATAGGAGACTGTACTACTATAGGAGACTGTACTAGTATAGGAGACTGTACTAGTATAGGAGACTGTACTATTATAGGAGACTGTACTAGTATAGGAGACTGTACTACTATAGGAGACTGTACTAGTATAGGAGACTGTACTAGTATAGGAGACTGTACTACTATAGGAGACTGTACTACTATAGGAGACTGTACTACTATAGGAGACTGTACTACTATAGGAGACTGTACTACTATAGGAGACTGTACTACTATATGAGACTGTACTACTATAGGAGACTGTACTACTATAGGAGACTGTACTACTATAGGAGACTGTACTACTATAGGAGACTATACTACTATAGGATACTGTACTACTATAGGAGACTGAACTACTATAGGAGACTGTGCTACTATAGGAGACTGTACTACTATAGGAGACTGTACTAGTATAGGAGACTGTACTACTATAGGATACTGTACTACTATAGGAGACTGTACTACTATAGGAGACTGTACTACTATAGGAGACTGTACTACTATAGGAGACTGTACTACTATAGGAGACTGTACTACTATAGGAGACTGTACTACTATAGGAGACTGTACTACTATAGGAGACTGTACTACTATAGGAGACTGTACTACTATAGGAGACTGTACTACTATAGGAGACTGTACTACTATAGGAGACTGTACTACTATAGGAGACTGTACTACTATAGGAGACTGTACTACTATAGGAGACTGTACTACTATAGGAGACTGTAATACTATAGGAGACTGTACTACTATAGGAGACTGTACTACTATAGGAGACTGTACTACTATAGGAGACTGTACTACTATAGGAGACTGTACTAGTATAGGAGACTGTACTACTATAGGAGACTGTACTAGTATAGGAGACTGTACTACTATAGGAGACTGTACTACTATAGGAGACTGTACTACTATAGGAGACTGTACTACTATAGGAGACTGTACTACTATAGGAGACTGTACTACTATAGGAGACTGTACTACTATAGGAGACTGTACTACTATAGGAGACTGTACTAGTATAGAAGACTGTACTAGTATAGGAGACTGTACTAGTATAGGAGACTGTACTACTATAGGAGACTGTACTACTATAGGAGACTGTACTACTATAGGAGACTGTACTACTATAGGAGACTGTACTACTATAGGAGACTGTACTACTATAGGAGACTGTACTACAATAGGAGACTGTACTACTATAGGAGACTGTACTACTATAGGAGACTGTACTACTATAGGAGACTGTACTACTATAGGAGACTGCACTAGTATAGGAGACTGTACTACTATAGGAGACTGTACTACTATAGGAGACTGTACTACTATAGGAGACTGTACTACTATAGGAGACTGTACTACTATAGGAGACTGTACTACTATAGGAGACTGTACTACTATAGGAGACTGTACTACTATAGGAGACTGTACTACTATAGAAGACTGTACTAGTATAGGAGACTGTACTAGTATAGGAGACTGTACTACTATAGGAGACTGTACTACTATAGGAGACTGTACTACTATAGGAGACTGTACTACTATAGGAGACTGTACTACTATAGGAGACTGTACTACTATAGG